TAATATAATATGATATAATATAATATCATATGATATGATATGATATAGTATAGTATAATATAGTGTAATATAGTATAATATAATATAATATAATATAATATAATATAATATAATATAATATAACACAATATAACACAATATAACACAATATAATATAATATAATATAATATAATATAATATAATATAATATAATATAATATAATATAATATAATTATATATATTGCATATATATATATATACGTATCGGAGAACGGATGTGCTCCTTCGTACCGAGATTATGCGTTCTCTTCATCTCCCTCGATGCGTCTGAGAGAGAGAGAGAGTGTGTGTGTGTGTATGCATGTATGTATGTATGTATGCATGCATGTATGTATGCATGCATGTATGTATGTATGTATGTAGGTATGTATGTAGGTATGTAGGTATGTAGGTATATATGTCTGAATATACATACACGCACATACGCAGACAAGTGCTTACTGCAGGGAAATGCCTAGTGCTTACTGCAGGGAAATGCCTGATCAATGAGTGCAGATGAGTGGGCTCTATTCGTGGGCCCCGACACATACACGTTGAATTTGGATGATTGCTTATGACTACTTGGAGGGTCTAAGAAACTATGCCGATGATTGGGAGGGAGACACATCTTTTGCTCATTCCAAGTCGTCTTGAGGCTGTTTTTTGTTCATGCTTGGCTCGAGGGTAGTCGACTGCCGCTGCCGTGACACCGCTCAAGCTGGCAGGGGAACTGCGCATTGAAAATTAGATTATGGCTCTGAAAATGCATCAGTGGCCCATCCTGTTGCTTAATAATTACCCTTCGTCACTCACAAGCCGGAAGTGAATCCCAACACAACTGGGAGACACCATGGCTGCTACACACGCCTCCATGCCCTAAGGCCCCAACTTCATCCTTCGCCCCACTTCATCCTGAACCGGGTTGAACCCGACTGCAACAAACCTCAAACCCAGGAACAAAAAAGCTTGCTGCTACGGACAAGGGCCGCCGTGGCATATCTCCAAAGGAGAGAGCTCATGGCTGTAGGACCACTTGGGCATGCCGCTGCCGGCGCAAACGGATCACGTGACCGGTTCGCGTTTTGAGGTGGAGGTCTCGCCTTCTCATAGAGTTTCCGACTGGCACACCGGGTTCCTTTCTGGAAGGCTACCTACTGCATGACGGACCTCGAGCCAGGTGTTTAAAACTACTCACACCATACGTGGACTTGCGGCGGAGGTGACTGAGGGGTGACTCAGACAGCTTGCGGAGTGGGGGGGGGGAGCGTCCAGAACAGCATCCGACTTATTCACACTGCAGTCTTCTGGGCAGTTGACATGACTTGCCTTCTTTGGGCAGGTTCCCTGTCAGTACGACGTTCAAGCGTCATGCTTATTCGTAACAGCATGTTGCCGGAGATCTGTGCCGGTTGAATGAAAACTCATTGCCACTGCTCCTACGTGAATCCCATCCTCGCCGCCAGCAAGTTTTGTATGTACGAGACCTCTAAAGGTGAGTGATCGCAATCGGTTGTTTTTGGAGCCCAGTCCTGAATCACACGATCGTGTTGGGGCCCCGGGTCCAGGAGTGTCGTGGATGCTTTAGGATGTCGAGCCTTCGGTCTCCCGGCAAGGCTCCAACCCTGCCAAGATGCACCAGGCCTCTCAGACTCAGATTTGGCTACCATTCCGCATCTGAGTCATAGATTCATAGATTACACGGAAGTATGGCAGATGGATGCATGTCATTCCTTCACTCCCAAATATAAGCCTGCAGTTCCAAATCGCTTGAACCTCAAATCTTTATGCCACCCGCATTAGGCTGCACTCACACCCGCAAGCCGGCAGCCGGATGCCAAATCAGCCCAAAAGCCGAACAATCTGAACTTGTTGAAGCAAGACGGGATTTCCAACTTTCGAATTGCTGCAATCGGAAGCCTATAGGCAGCCTTAAAGCAGCCCACAAAGCCGGCAGAAGCAGTATCGAGTGAGAAGCCAGCCACCAAGCAAGCTGTCACACTCCAAAACCTTGGAGGCCTCTGCGGCAGAGGCCGCGGCAGAGCGCCAACTCCGTCGGAGCCGTGCGGCACACCGCGGCCCGGGGCTCTATCAGGCCACGTGAAGTGGACCACGGCAGTTGCAAGGAGTGTTACCTCCTAAGGTCCCCGATATACATAGCGGTGCATGGATTGCTTGTCGTAGCATTGTGTTGCTCACAAGATCGGGCTGGCTGATGGCGGGCGATGGCGCCCACGTGATCGGTTTGGGGCTTGAGGGCTCCAGTAGTCGCGCTTAATTTATCGACTACAGGCTCGTAAAACAATGGCTTGGGGGTGGTCGTCACAATGTCTATCGTTTCTTGGGACTTACTGACGGGTGCAGCGTTTAGGTGTGCTTGCGAGGGGCACTGGTCTGACAAAGTCAGGGCTGTCCGAGCTCGTGGGCGTGGCATTGGCGAGTCTATAAGGCACTCCGTAAAAGCTCTCTGGCTCCGTCGTTCTGTTCGGGACTTTCAGGATACATTGGGGCTGGTGGTCTTCTCAGAACTCAGCCTACGTTGCTGCTGGGCAGGTAAGGACCTCGAGGCTTGTTGGTGACAAGGATGCTTATTACAATTACAATTCACACTTGAAGACGGCATTCCAGGCACGATTACTACCTGGATTTTTTGCAGTCGCGCCATTGTCCTAATGACGGTTACGGCCGATTCACCGTAGTTGGACAATACTGATTGATCACGGACACGGCGAAATATGTCGAGCCCGGACGGATGTGCTGCAGACTAATGGCAAAATGGAAAAGCCTTTGCATCGACTATTGGTGCTGGCGGCGATGACCACTACCTTGCCTGAAAGGCTGAAGACCGTGCAGCAGAATTCAGCCAACCTTTGGATCCTTCGCCATTCCTCTGTTGGGGCCTGGGATGCTGGTCCCGGACAGCAGCACTCCAGATCAGGTGAACTAAACGCATGTGTAAAGCCTATGAACACCCTGCAACACCCGGCAAAGCCCTGTGATCCCTTCTCGGGGGTCAAGATTGCAGCGGCCGGGGATTCATGATGTGTCTGCCTCAGCATCTCTTAAGGTTCGGAGCACATGAATCTGATTCCAATCTAGCTCTAAGTTGATGGTGGGCTTGTCGGGAAGGAATGAAGGAACACTATGGACCCTCGTATGTCGACAGGTGACCCCATCCGTTTCGGCTTAGATCTGCGGATGCCCCCTTCAGGTGGACCCCCAGGTTACGTCCTACCACAACATTCGCGCTGCACCGAGCATCTTCTCTCCCATCGTGGGCACGCTCGAGGCGGGCATTGAACACCGCGTTTGACTTTCGTTTGGGACCGCACAACGCTGCAAACCTCTGCACCAGAGCGGGAGGCCTACGACGTGATCGAAGTCGCTCAGAAGCTTGACTGCACCATGATACCTACGATATAAGCACTACGAACAGGCTCAAAGAAAGGACGTCATGACAAGATTAGCTGAATCCGAAGTTTAGCCCTGAGAGTTGCCGAGTTGAATCAGCCGCTTTGAGAACGATGCTGTTTGCGAAGTTCCCGTTCAAAACCCCGCTAGGTTTTCGGGGTTAGCGCATTAGGTTTTGTCGGTGGGAGATCCGAAGTGAATGCCGGTGCACACGCGGTGCCGTGGATGTAGTCGACCTGGTTGGGCTGGCAAATCAGTAGGAATGCGGATGGGTAGTAGGGACTTAAGTGTCTCGAGTCTTTCAAGCGTGGAGGAAGAGCCTGAATCCATAGCCGCCGTAGCCGCATCGCCAAGGACGATCCAGCTTTGTGCTTCGGATAGCAGTCTTGAGCTTCCTGGCTTTCGCTTGCTTTTGGGAGCGGCTTTCGAGGATCCGAGTTTGGGGACGGGATTTGGTCTGAGTTTGGCCCCTCACACACTCAGTAGTCTCGCCCTCGGGTTGCGTAGGAATGTGCTTTGACACTCGGGGAGTTCAGTTCGTATGAGACTCAGATACACGGAGTCATGCCGATCACAACATTCGGCTCCTGGATCTCACAAAGATCCGGGAGATTCGCTGTCTGACAGCTTGAATCCTGAAGCTCCTGCACCTTACGGCCGTATTGGTCGTTTGCTTGAATGGCCCTCAACCATGCATCTGCTTGTTGCAAAAGAAACTCGCTCTAGACCATCCAGTTTTGCATGAGTAACTCTTTGTCTGGGCCTCAACTCCAACGTCGTCCCGAGTCGAATTGTGTTTGAGGGTTGTGTTGTGCTACTCGTTCTCTCTGGTCTTGAAAACGACTATCCAGAATGCCAATGTATCCATCTAGCTATCGCGTTGTTTCTTTCTAACCAATCGACCTGTCGATCCTTCTATCCTTCTATCCATCTATCTATCTATCTATCTACTAATCTACCTATCTACCTATCTACCTATCTATCTATCTATCTATCTGTCTATGCCCATGCATCTACCCGAAGCTGACTTCATCCAGTTCAATCTAATCCCATCTAATCTTATATCCCGTTCAAACTAATCTAATCTAATGTAGCTTGCTCTCCTACTCTAACCCAACCAACCTTTGGTTCGAACATAATCTAGTGAACCAAATCCATTATATTTTGAATGTTCCCTAATCTAACCTATCCTAACTTCCTAAGCTCCTCCTACCAACCTACTTTTGCCCATATATGTTACGACGACAACTTGTGCAAAGCTTCGTTCGGACGGTGAGTACTATTGCTATGATATTTTTGCTGCTTTGCTTTGGTGGCTTGTCTACTTGCAGACCTTCTCTCTGCCGTTGCCACTAATGATATGCTGGTGACAAATCCACGTAGACCGTAGACCACTGCCCGCCAGCGATTGTTGTAGGATTCGTGCTGTGGAGCAGTATGCCTCGGCCCCCGCCACGTTCTTGCGCGCTACACGCTATTTCCGCACAAGGTTTTGGGCGCAAATCCTTCGAAGAACTGCAGGGCCTGCTCCATGGATTCTGCACCTGGGCTCTCCGAGAAACTCCGATCTTTTTTGGCTTGGGAGCTGGGTCCGGAGATGTCCAGATGGCTAGGGCCTGTCACGAGGAACCAGTTTTAGTTTCAGTTCCAATTTTTTTTTATCTCAAAGCCCCAGACTCCGAAGGGTGCAGCCTGCTTTTGTTTATCATCCCCAATTTTTTTAGAAGCTGCACAGCTCCTCAGAATCGTGGTGAGAGGGGCCCAAACCAGGTCCAGCAACACTTTCCCAAGCCTTGTTCAACCCAGGATCTCCGACTCAGATAGCGAATACATGGTAAAGCTGCTTCGCCGCGGAGACGCACTGCAGAAGCCCGAGGCCCGAAGTTTCAGAATGCTGGGCTCGACATCAAGTCGAAAGGCGTTGCAGGTTCAGGATGGAGATGCGGCTTGTCTTTATGGCTTTCGAGGTATGGAGCCACAAGGCCATGAGACAGCATCATTTTGACGGTTTAGCATGCCCGGTTCATGTGCGGCCTCGGTGCATGTGGTCTTGAGGCTGCCAGGATAGCACTTGCAGCATCGAAGTGGTCTTGAGTGTGGCTTCGTGAGATCTGTGGAGCGATTGGGTTTTGTTCTTTGCCAGAACAGATGGCCAGCGTGCAGGCTAGCAAAAACGCACAATCCTGCCATGCGGTCTGAACTCGGTCAAAAGCTGCCCAAAAATCAAAGCTACAAGCGGCACATCACCATTTTTGATTCCTGGTCGCTGCAACAGCAGACATCAGTTTGAAGAATTTCTCAGGGGGGCCCATGTTCCTCCAAAGTCCCAAGTCGGAGGAGTGGGTGCCACCACTTCCGGATGAGGCGCCCTATGGAGAAGCTGCCCAGTCTGTCGCCGGGCTGAGGGGTTGGGGACTGTGCTGGTTTTAGCGGATTTGCTTTTGTCAGCCTTTCGGCCACTGCGGCTTTTCCTTTCGGTCTTTTGCTGCTTTGGTCGTAGGGGCCTTTGGTAGTCAGAAGTTTTAAAAGAGCCATTTCTGCTGAGAGTCGGATTGCGGGCCAAGTCGAGATTTTTAATTCAGGCTTCATCGTAGCTGCTGGATTGGCCAGATTCAAACGAGACAAGGAAACCATCAGGAATATAAGATGCATTGAGTAGCTGAACAACGGCTCAGCGCAAGCACGTTTTTGGGCCAGACAGTGTAGAACCGTCGTGCCCTGCGCCTACGACTTCACAAAGTGCGGAACCAGGGCTAAGAGCAGCACACCATGGCCCTGAAACCGTGACCCTAGACTCCGAAAGGGGATTTCGAAACCCCGCAATGCTGTATTTATGTTAGCCGGGTTTCCCCTGTGAGTAGCCTGGGGAACTAAACTCAGTCAAGAAATCTTACAGCTGTGCAAGACCAAGGTGAACTTCTACTTGGCTGCCGCGTTAGGCCGAGCTGTCGCAAGGGGAGGTGTAGAGTTTCAGGTTTCGGGTTGCTCAACCCTGAAATCTCCGAGTTATGGTCTGAAGCCACGAGACTGCCTCTGTTGACCGGCTTTGCAGGTGACGAGGCGTCCGACCTCCCGGAGATGTGTCTTTGCAGTAAGTTTCCAGTAACGGGTCTGGGCTGTCGACTCTAAGGTTGGTTTCGGGGTGTTGGTGGTGAGGTCAGCATTTCCCGGGGTCTCATAGTCAGAACCTGACCCCGAACCCCAAAAGACCCAAAAATAGCCCCCGAACTCTTTTGACGACCAACAAGGATCGCGGCTTTGGCCGACCACGAGTTTCGCCTCGGCCGGGAGGCTGCAGCAGTGGCAGTCCTCGAGGCTGGCCGCTTGCAGGGGTGCAGAAAACAGACAAGCAAAACTGAAAAGATCAAGAGGAAACCGTGATCCGGATGTGTAGTTTAATCGCTCAGAAGTAATCACTGCTATGCTTGTCATGGCAACGCAGGAACTCTTCCGATTGATAAGACACGACCGCTGTTCCCGTTGTTTCTATTTTGGCTACTCGGCCACTATACTGTCTCTCATAAGTATATTATTCTCTTGACCATGATGACACGGGTAGCAACACCACCGTGTTGGTGGTGCAGAAAGTGTTGAAGGCTTACGGCTGAGCATTTCCTTCATCAGCGGGTTGTTTTTCTTAAGGCTTCAGGTGTGACCGGCAACAGTCCTGTGCGGTTCGGGGCCCTGCCGTTGAATGGAGTGCATCTTGTGCACCGAATCTGAGTCGAACTGCAGAAGGTCAAAAGCTCGAGGAGCTCAAGACGAAACGGTTAAACAGTGGATTGGGGGTCCCTCGTTTTTGGCTATCTTCTGCATAGTCCTTGAAACAGACCTCTGCTACATCAGGAACTCAAAACACTCAGACCAAAAACTGACGTGATGACTTCGATAGAGGGTCAGAAAAGGTGGGCTTAAGGCCATGAAAGTGCCCGGCATGCTTCTTTTGTTGGGACTTTAAGACCCTGCACGATTAGTTTCACGTTGCTGTATCGTCTTGGTTTGCAGTCGTTCCGTCCCTCGCTCGTGCCTCCTGTTACAGGAAGAAGCGAATTCCATCAGAGAGGAGGTGCTGCGATCGAATCCTTGGTGACCAGGGTGCGGTTGTTGACACAGGGAATGATCTAAAGAGTGTTTTTTCTGGGTGAAGGACGCGGGAGGCCAGGATCTAAGTTCTGGGATGGGGTCCCTCTCGGATGAGAGCAGCCGGTCGAGCTTCGCGCCCCTAGATGTAGCACCTCTGGAGCCCCCAAACCGAAACCTCCAGCCCTCCAACTCCAAGTGGAGGCCCGGGCCTACGAGCGCGAGCTCGAGCGGCGACGGGGAGACCGTGCAGCGACGCAGAGGCGCTATCAGCGGCTGAAGCAGCGAGAGGCGCGAAAGGCTGCAGAGCTTTTATCGGAGCATTCCAAGCCTTTTTGGATAGTTAAACCCGAAGGCAGGGATGCACAGGACGATCACGTAAGAATGCATGGCCACTCTTGACACCACGATCTCATTAACTTGAACGGTGCTCAAGACGTGCAGTTCCGAGCTCATGATAAGAGCACCCTGGCTGCTAGCTAGCCTGTTACATCGGAGAGTAGAGTGAGTCAACGAGTCGAGCCGGAACTCTGCAGAGACTGTGAAGTGGAAGTCAGCGGCCCGGATCCTGCTCGTTTTTGTGGCCTGCGATTTCAGTTTCCCAGCTGTTACGGACGAGCTTGGTAATTCGCAGGCGTGGAATGTTGCGAACGCACAGATTGAGCTGCAGCTGGCACAGGCGGGGGGGATGCTTGCATAGTCGGGAGATGATTCCCACGGTGAGATGAGATGCAACACGGTCAGGGTTGCGGCCACAGATTCGTTCAAGATATCTGCCCGAAGCTTGATGTCTTTTTCATCCTGTCATCCGCACTGACACAAAGATCCAGGAACTCGACCCCAAGCCTTCGTTTCTGAAAGTACAACCACACCGAAAACACAAACGAGCCAGGTCGAAGACATGCTGGATGATGCGACGGATAATGCCGAAGCAGCCCGGCAAGACATGCTCCTTACGACGAGACAGTTTGCGTCCAACATCGGGGGCTATGCGCCGCGATTGCGGTTTTGAGGTTGTGGTCCAAGCTGAGAGCGCATAAAACTCTACTTTGAAGCCCCCAGAAGCCACACCCTCTGACAAGCTAGTTCTGACAGCGTTTCGATACTAAGGTCTCCACCGTCCTGTGCGGCTGTAGGGAACAATATTATCAGCAAGAATGACAGCTTTTTGGCTTCAGGTAGTTGTCCAGCATGCCGGATTGAGCATGCAGGCTTGACTTCAAGCTTAGTTGCTTTGCTGCACGAACCAATCCACCTTGCAAACACGGGCGCTATAGTGAGTATGTTCCCACATCGCGGATACATTACACGTCAGGTCAGGTCCTAAGCCCCAACATGTCAGCTCAGGTCAGGGCATGTATCCATGTACATGTGCAAAAATGTACAGATACATGAGCCTGTACAGAATGTTCATTTAATGTAACATAAGAAAAATATATTCAACTTTCGAGAAATGGCTTCTACCGCGGTGCATACATGGGTACACATCCCGTAAACATGCGCAGCCGGCCACGACGAGGCGATCTGTGCCTCTCAGCTGGCGCTGCAGCGTGCCCGGGAGCGGGAGGAGTCGGAGCGGGAGACTGAGGCAGGAAACATCGGCATTATCGGCATTAATTGATGGAGTTTGGTGGGTCGCTTCAGGTAGCGTGGATGGCTGCAGCACTTCATGAGTTGCCAGGATCTACCAATCGACGAGATTTCTCCCTTCAGGGTCTGATGGGAGAGTTCAGAATCGCCTCAAGGGTCCAATGGCTCAGGGTGTTTCCTCAAGCTTGATGGATGCTTACAGGTTTAGGGACGGTGGTGCAGAAATTCGCGTCGAATTTCCAGCAACATGCTGCTTTGAGTTGAGACGCAGTCTGCCGGGCGTCTGAAAGACTCGCGAATGTTTCAGTCGAGATATGCTGACAAGTTTGAGGGGGATATGTCCTTCCCATGACCTGATGTCGTAAATACAATGAGAAGTTCATGTCTTGGATTCTTGAAGAAATGATTCAAGATCATGTTCCATTAAAGACCCGCCAGGCACAGCGCCGTCGCCGGAAGAAAGCCATCAGCTGCTGGGCTTGGCAGGAAAACCCCGGTTCTGCACGTGTGAGCTGCCTACACTTCCCAGAACTTTGGGCTTGCCAAGCGACGGCACAGACTCCAATCATCGGTGTGGGTTTGCTTTTTGCGGCTGTGGGTGTTCTCTTTTTTTGGCCTCGCCCCCGCCCTCTTCTGCTCCTCAGCTCGCCCGTCCTTCTGGTCTGGTCCTGCTGTGCTTTTCCGATTCTCCGTTTTCCCTGCCCTCATTTGGCAGCACTTCTTAGCTTTTCGCCTTGCGGCTCCGCTTCCGCTTTTCTCCTGCTCCGATTGTCCGCTTCTGCGCTTATGCTTTTGCGCTTCTCTGCTTCTGACTTTTTTTCGCATTTCTGGTCTCTTGTTTGCTTCGGCATTTTCTGTGCGCAGCGCATCTTCGCTTTTTCAGCTCGTCTGAATTGCTATGCTTCCGGTTTTCTCCCACTCTGCACTTTTGCTTTGGCTCTTCTCCGCTTCTGAGCATTTCCGCGCTGCTTGTGACCTCTCGTTTGTCACATTTCTGGTTTCCTCCTGCTCCGGTTGTTTGCTTCGGCACGTGTGCAGCGCTTCTCTGCTTGTTCAGCTCGTCTGCTTCGCTGATCTTCCTGTTTTCTCCCGCTCCCATTGCCTGCTTCTGAGCTTTTTCGCAGTTCCGGTGTCTTCCTGCTCTGCTTTTCTGCTTCCGGACATCGCCCAAAATTCAGCCGACATCATATGATTATTATGATTGTTGTTATTATTGTGATTGTTCTGGTTGCGATTGCGGTTGCGGTTGCGGTTGCGGTTGTTGTTGTTGTTGTTGTTGTTATTCTTGTTCTTGCTCTTGCTCTTGCTCTTGCTCTTGCTCTTGCTCTTGCTCTTGCTCTTGCTGTTGCTGTTGCTGTTGCTGTTTGTGTTGCTGTTTGTGTTGCTGTTGTTGTTGTTGTTCTTGTTGTTGTTGTTGTTGTGGTTGTTCTTCTTCTTCTTCTTCGTCTTCTTGTTCTTCTTGTTCTTCTTGTTCTTGTTCTTCTTGTTCTTGCTGTTGCTGTTGCTGTTGCTGTTGCTGTTGCTGTTGCTGTTGCTGTTGCTGTTGCTGTTGCTGTTGCTGCTGCTGCTGCTGCTGCTGCTGCTGGTGCTGCTGCTGCTGCAGCTGGTGTTGCTGCTGCTGCTGCTGCTGCTGCTGCTGTCAGAGCATTTTAATTTTCGTGTTTATCACTATAATCTTTATACAAAGAAGGCAAGCACGGCGAAGCTCGCAGAGCTTCCACAGGAGGAAGGAAGCGTGCCGAAGCTATTCTGGAGCAAACATACAGGAAAGTCTGCACATATTTGTGGGAGAGAGGGTATTTCGAATTTCGAGAAGAAGCCGCTATCGGAGCATTTGTTGGTGAGACGTAGGCTGCGAAACGAGAGCTGCGGTCTCACCGGTGTGTTTTCCTGTGGCACGCGCTGGATCCGAGAGCGATTAAGAAATGCTGCCTTGGGCCCCGACGGCGAGGTGCCGGGCGCAGGCTTCGCGCGGCTGTACACGTGTGGTTCATCTGCGCATGCAACTGACGAACACGTGCTAGGCTCCAGTGGCAGTAGCGGCAGACAGCCTTGCGGTCTTCAAGCAAGCGCACATCGGTTGATTCTGGACGTGTTGCTGAGTTTCCCTCAGCCAGTGTACAACCCAGTCGATGTCCCCAGTCCTCCATGGCTTGCAGCGCTCCAAGGCTGTACGCCTTTACGCATCGTCTTCGCAAGAAGGTATACAAGCCAAAAGGGTTCTAAGTAATGGAATGATGCTGCTGATTTCGAATTCCTCCTGCACAGCTGCTGCAATGTCGGAACATGCCCGGGTGACATCTTCCTCAGACGTCTTGCGCAAAGACGATGCAGACTTGCGTGTCGTCGGGTCTTTCGACTGCTTTCACGCGCAATGTGGGCTCAGCGCAAGTATGTGGGGATGTGAGCACAACACTAGCTATGAGGGCCTGACAAAGACCCTGCACAAGGGTGCCTCCCAGATCGGCCATGAATGACTTGCAGTCGGAACATATTATGCAATGCCATTGCGATGTGCACAAAAGCTTCGAGGCCGCCTGCAGCCGCGTTGCTCCCAACTCGTGCAGGGCATGGGCTGCAGGGGCTAGTGCTCGAGCACGTGTCCTCTGCAGCCAAGAAAGCAATCGCACCGTTCGTATTCCGATGGTCCCGCATCTCCAAGACCATGCCCAAATTCCTGTTCCGTGTCATCTGGCAGTCCATATTTGCCAAACTCTTGGAGAGAGCGAACCCAAAATCGTTAGGCGTTGCAAGGCCAACAACTCTGGGATGCGCCGGACTGCATATTGCAGGGTTTCCCAGGCCATAATGTGGTCGTTGCGTTGTAATGTGAGCCTTGTGCAAATGTCAGCACCGCGAGAAACTGTGCGGACGCCGCAGCAAGAAGCTCGTCCCAAGGGGGGCATTGTCGTCTCGCGCCCCCAGTCACCACTATTCGGGACCGCGGCCACAAATCCCGGAGCAGGCCCTGCAAAACCACTTACTATGTAAATACTGTTGACCGAGCCCCCAAGTACTGATGGGCCAACCTTCTCCCAAGAAGTTTTGGGGGATCTCGGAGCACGGCCAAAATTCTGTCCCCCGAGCACTGGAGTGTGGCCAACATGCTGGGCCCCACGAGTAGCAGCGGTTCCAGGAGCATGGCGGGCGCGAAACAGCGAATGTCAGGCTCTACCCCCCTGCCTAATAAAAGAAAATCACAGAAGGAAAAAAACCACAGAAGGTCTGCTGCCGTAGTCTAATGGTGGATTGTCATCCGAGCTGCAACCCCAATTGCGATGTTGATGCCTTGAGTTGAAATCTCAACACACCGGCGTCTTCCAACAGCGACATTTTCCTGTGCCTGAGGCAGGCAGCTTTGTACATGAACTAATCCCACAGCTCCCGGGGCCCGTCGCCCCCGAGCCGTCGCAGCCAAACATCTGAAAAGCGGGACTTTGAGCCTACTAAGGCTTACTACGGCATCAGAGTTTAAGTTGCGGTGAATAAGGCCGTCTGGGCGCCCAGCTGGCAGCGAGCATTGGGGCAGAAGCTGAGGCAAAGCCTGAGGCCGACTGAAGGGCAGGGGCAGATGAGACATGGGTAAGGTTGAACAGACGACCAGACTTGGTGATTCTATTACGAATTGCGGTATGAGCCTGGTTGAGGCCCTCTTCGGGCTGTTGACGACAGCTCAGAATTCAGGCCTTGTGAGGTTTGTAAAGAGCGGGAGAGTGTAGGCGGCATGGGGTACAAATTCAGCTTAGTGACTCGTGCTTTGCACATCAGGGATTGGTAAGCCAAGCAGGCTCAAGATCGGAATGCGAGACAGGGCTGTACGCCTTCCCGGGAAGTTTCGGTGAGCTGGAGGAGGGCTGCTGAGCAAATGTATGTTGCTTATGTGTTGACCATGTAATGTTTTTATAGACACTCACATCATTGTTCGGATGCTTCAGCCATGTTCGAGTGCTGGGGTGCAGGAGCTGCCGAGCTCAAGAGTTTTGGAACTCAGCATACCTGAAGACCGCACTAGCACGTACGGGGACCGGTGTAAGAACTGCAAGGTTACGATCGGAAGTTCGACTTCATGTTACAGCTTCCTTATCAAATACCCTTATCATGCTTTTGCATGTAAACGTGGGCTTCGTCGCAATCCTCTGCGCAGACGCCCGCAAGCCCAAATCCTAAATCCTGCGCACCCGCGTGAAGCAGAGTTTCACCAAGCACGACAAAGCCGGACAGAATCTGAAAGTTAAGCCGGTTATGGTCTCTTGAGCCTTTTATCGTAGCGTGCGAGACCTCAAGCCGTGTCCGTCCTGGCTCAGGAGTCCTCTGTAGCCAACGACAGCAAACTCGTCGAGGCTTTGGCCAGTGCTGCGCTTCCGAATATGGTGAAGGGATAGGCATTCAATCGCAAATCAAAGCCCATGTGATTCAGGACTCCAGGACTCTAGAGCATTTGTGAAGATGTCGACGAAGCCGCAGCTGATGCATCATTTTACTTGCCGTAGTACTGGTATCAGCTCTGAGGCCCATACACGTACCATGGGAGGTTCAGAGCTTTGCAGGACGTGTACACGCGGAATGCCCGACAATTGAAACAGTTGATGCAGGTGTCCACGCTCCTGCAAGCCGCACTCGAAAGCGGTGTGCTCGAACCAAGCTTGATCATCTGGACCAGAATATCGGGCTTCGCCCTGGTAGCATCCAAGAAGGAAGACCCCCGACGACCTTTGCCCTTGAAGTTCCTAAAGACGCTTTGTATTCTGCTTCGAAGTTCTGCGGCGGGAGGCCATGGCCGGCCTGGAGAACCTCGTCGGCCGTCGCTATTTGCAGGGCGGCGCAGCCCTGGCCAGCCTCGAGGCCTCCCTCTTCAAAACGCCTGTTTCGGCTCTAAGGACTCTGGGGTATGGTTTGGAAGTTTAGAGCTTCGATTCAAGGGCGCGAGTACCATTCGTACGGGAGGGGACAATAAAGTTGTGCTCTTTCAGTCTTTCTGCCAGAGGTAAGCCCAAGCCTGGCTCTGATCAAGGCTCCTGGATACAAGGATCTCAGTCGACTGGAAAGAACCATGATGAGAGTTCGAAGTTCTGGAGACCCTCGCATAAAATAAGGCACGAAGGATCCGGGCTTTAGCCGAAAACGCCCCGGAGGCAACTCGAAATCATCAAGCACCACAGCCATGACAGCCCTCAGACTCAACCTTTCGAAGTCCCCAAAACCACGGCATCTCAGGACCTGGGCTTCGGCAGCTCTTGGGGCAACGCAGAGCCTGAGGCAGAACTGCCAGCCTCTGCCCGCTGAAGCGCAAAGGAGGCATGGCGCCGTTGCTTCAGAAGAGGGTCTTGTGGGGCGGCCCTGGGGCGGGTGTGTGGCTTTCTCTTGATGGGAGCTTTATTGCGGGGTTTCGGCGCTTTGACCTTTTCTGGTCTGGGGGTTGAAGCCGAGCGCGCCAGGACCTTGGCTGAGCCAAGTGGCCAGACGGCTGTCACGAACAAGCGGCACTGCCAAGATGACGTGAGAGATCGAAGCATGCAGCACGCGAAGCATAGCGAGGAGGCGTTTGGGAGGAACGACACAGGCAAATAATGACCATTGCCATGCTTTCGGTGTCTTATTTAAGCATGTGGACCCTGCAGCCGTTCTGTCGAAAACCAGCCGTTGTGGACTTGATGAGCCCTGATTCTGACTTAGCTTTGTGGATGCTCCAACATGAGTATGATTACATATGAAGGTTTGAGCTGCGGGTTTCGAGTGGACAGAGGTCTTGCATTTCGGTGGAAAAAAGATTGTTTATAAGATACGTAGCAAGCATGAAACCCTGAGAACCAAGTCTCTCCTTAGATGATGGATGTGGTGCCGGGTCCGCGGCTCCGCAGAAAGCTCGTTAGCCTCTTCAATAGCAAGGGGGAACTGTGGGTCTTAACATCGAGACACTCCGAAGTTTGAAAGGCCGGCGATTCTCGAGAATATGTCATGGATGGGTTCTTTGGGTCAGAGTGACAGCTTCTCCTCGGTAGTGCTTCGAGTGCTGCGATGCGCACTCCATGCATCCTTCCCGCAGGGCCGCGACAAAAAACCGCAGTGCTCAGATTGACAAGTTTGGGCTATATATATATATATACATGAATAACTCTCTCTGTAGGTGCGGATAGAGAGGGAGGGAGGGAGAGAGAGAG